CACTCTTTTCAATATAAAGCTATGCTGAAAGAAATTTTCTGGAATTACCTTTTGGTCTCTGGCTTGTCTGGTATTCATCTACAAGCATGTCCAATGTGTTGTTTGAAGATTTTTTTTCCTTTCTTAGCAATGAAAACTATACCATTAATTATTTTCTTTTCCACATGAAAGTTTATTTATAGTAGTTACACAGTAAGAATAAAAAGGAAACGCTAGATAAACTTCACAAGATTTTGGTTTGAAACTGATAGACCAAGGCCTGATGTGACAGGTGCACTTCAGAAGACTGAAGCTCTGAGCAAAATGCCCTGGAGGATAATCAAACTCTGGGAGAGAGGATAGTGTGTGTATGAGATGATTAATCTGTGACCTGTAAAACAGACTCTATAAATTTCGACCCTCAATCCAGCAGTAGGAACGAGTCTCCTTCCCTAATGCGCTTGCTGCCCTCTTAATGAAATGACTGGTCCTCCAAGCCCATTAAGAAGCATTGAGGCCTCGGAAACGTAGTTCACACAAGAGAAGCAACTTACCCATGGGACTAAAGATCTGCTGGGAAAGGATAGAAGGACATATCTGGCCTAAATTAAAGCCCAGAGCCCATTAAAGAAATCAAAGCCCATTAAAGAAAGAGAAGAGGTGGCTGTAACCAGGGACTGTGGCAATGGGCACAGAGGAATAACCAGGACTCCTTAAATTACAGAATTGAAGCATGTCACTTGAAATACATAATGAATTGAGTTGATACTTGCATTAGATTATTATGAGTGGAATTTTAACTCTAATTATTAGTGTATTAGATGTATATTTCCATTTCAATCAGTGTATGTCTATTTATATTTTATTTCAATGTACATTTCTATTTCAATCTACTTCTATTTGATTTTACCTGGAATAATTTGTAAAAATAGAAACGAATTCAAAAGAACTCTTTAAAAAATAACTTTTAGATTTCCTTTAAAGGGACAAATGAATTAGACATCCTCAATCACTATTTCATATTATTTGTGTATTTTAAATTATAAGATACAAATGAAGATTTATGACATATATACACACAAGATACAAATAAATGTATCAATAATAGCAGTGGTGATAGGCATGTATACCCCTGATCAATGAAAATGAGCATCCCCGCACATCCACCACGTGCCTCTCCCTGATTGAGTTTCAGTTCCCACTTGGTTTTTGTGTTTCTTACCTCTAGACTAAGAATTGCTCTATGTATTTAGTATCATATATATCTTATTATATTTTACTCCCTGTGTAAAAAAGACATGTGAAATACTTCACTTCATATATTCCTAAATGATGGGCTCTTTACTTTTCTATCTTTTGACTGTAGCTGGAAATTTTGTCATTTTATCACTTCATTATTCAGCATTATCTTAGTGAGTTACATCCATGTTGGAATATGTAGAAGTAGTTTTCCATTTTCACTTCCTGAATGGAATGTTGTATGAATCTTCCATAGTGTATTTATCCATCCACCTATTCTTCCATGATGAGGACCTTGTGTGTTCCCAGTATTTCTGGTTTACTTTGTGTTTATGTTTGTGTGTGTGTATGACATAAACACAACTACTATAACATTTCTTACAGTATATGTTTATAGGGATACGTGCCAAGACTTTCTATACCCAGAGCTATAACTGCTGGAATGTAGAATATGTGCCCCCTCAACTTCAGTAGATAAAGCCAATTTGCTTTCCTAACGTTGAAAAACTTTACAAGAATTTCCATTGTTCTTCATCCTTGCCAGCAGTTGGCATTGAACTTTTCATTTTTTGCTAAATTAATAGATGTGAGTTGATACTTTATTTTGATTTTGAATTTCCTCTTTCCTGATGCTAATGGTTTTGAGCAAATTCTCATGAATTTCCTCATCATTTGATTTGTTAATTTGTAAAATTCCTTTTCTTGTATGTAGCTGACAGATTTTTTCGCTCCCCTGTAATATTGTTACAGATGTCCCTGTTAGATGAGTGCAGCATTTTGCTGGAAGTGGTGTGGTTTCCTTCTGCTTGCTGGTGGGTTTGGTCAGCCATTTGTTTTGGCCAGTGGTATATAAATGAAAGTAATGTGAATAACAACTTGAAGTGTGCTTGTGTGTCTGGGCTGGCCCACTAGAGCATTTGGCCAAGCCATGAGATAAAAACTCCAAGTAGCCATTGTTTATACTATTTACCAGCTTGGACCCTAGAATGAAACACATAGTGTAGAGTTGCCCCAGCTGACCCACAGACATGAGTGAGAAATAAGCACTTATTCTTGTGTGCCACTGAGGTCTGACACCTGCTTGTTGTGCAGTATTATTAAGGCAATGACTGATAGACATCTGCCATTTTTTCTATTGGATTGGATGTCCTTTTCTTACGGATTTATGAGAGTTCTTTATTTATTCTGAGTTCAAAATCTTTGTACTCCAAATTTGTTGCTTCTTTTCACTCTTTTTTTGATGTAAATATTTCCCCCAGTTTTATTGAGGTATAATTGGCAAACACCACTATATAAACTTAAGATCTACAACATAATGATTTGACTTACATATATCATGGAATAACACAACAAATTTAATGTCCTTCATCTCATATAGATACAAAGAAGAAAAAAA